TAGGGAAATTTCTGAGGATCTGAACACCAGCAATGTGAATAGAAAACGGCCTGAGAAATGGGCAAACGATTTTGTCCTCCATCATGACAATGCTTCGTGTCACACATCGCTTCTGGTAAAGCAATTTCTGTCAAATAGAAACATTACGGTGTGTCCTCATCCACCTTGTTCACCGGATCTGGCACCATGCGACTTCTGGCTCTTCCCTAAAGTCAAACTGGCAGCCATGAAGGTGCAACTAAAGACACTCATGAAAGAGGACTTCCAGAACTTTGAAATGTGTCTTGACTGACATTTATCTAATAAAATATTAAACAATCGTTATATATATAAATAATTATACATCCATTGTAGCTTTAAAGTGCCTAGATAGATGTAATCGAAATATATACAATAATGACACTGATGGTACATATGTAAAAGATTACATATTAAATGTAATTCAATAACAAATTAAATTTTTCGATTATTTCCAAGTAGCCAGCTTCAGTGACGTGCACTTACTGGGCATACTGGGTAATTTATTGATATTTAAAATATATAAAATGTCACAAACAAGTGCTATAATGCGTATTAAGCAAAGCACAGTGATGATGCCCAAAGTGCAGAGATTGGTCCATAACAACCAATCAAAAATGGCCTGATTACCATAAGCTAAAATCTGATTGGTTGCTTGGGGTTCGTGAAGTTGTGATTATCTTAGATATTTGCACAGCTTGGCTGAATATATAGCTGTATCTAGAAATAGTAAGATATAATGGCAATAGGTCACAGGAAGTGAAGGTGAGTGAATGAGACAAACTTATGTTGACATCTGCATCATTTGTCTACTTTGTTACTTGCCCAATTATCTGCTTAAAGGGAAATATGAAAGTTATGATGCTGTTTTTGTAGATGCAAGCTCCAATGTTTCTCATTTTCATCAATGTTCAGTATTGGTCACACACTGGAACACATTTGTAAGTCATCAGTAGGGAAGTTAGGAGCAGTGTTATAGCTTCAAAAAAATAAGTGTTTCTGTTTTGACAGATTCTTTCCAATTTCAACAAATTCTTCATTTTTCCCCATTGTGTTTAATAAGACCCCCTTCCCATGTGTTTTTGGCCTCGCCTGCATTTCAGATTTAACTGGTTTCCATAGGTACTCTTTATTCTGCTTTTGATTTGCTTTGCTTGGCTTCACTTTTTTGGGGAATGTAACATTATCTATTGTCTTCCTTTCCAAAAGCTTTGCAAATAATTCGAATGCACAAAAAGGCAAATCAAATGAAATGCTTTCTTTGACTCCAAAACATTTCAAATCATTTGATCAGTACTTATCTCTAAAATAAAAGGCTTTGATGAAAACCAGCACACGTTGCAGTAACCAATAAAAACCATCGAGATGTCATCTGAAGTATTTTCAGTAAATTGAAATCTAATTGTTTACTATCGGTTACCACTTATTCTCATTGCTCTTTCCACTGTTTTATTGAAAGAGCCCAATTGATACGCTATGTTAGCAAACATTCGTGGGCACCTGATCATCACACCTGCATATATGGCCAAAAGTATGTGGAAACCTCTCCAAATGATTGAGTTCAGGTGTTTCCAATAAACGGTAATGTTACAGCATGCAATGACATTTGTGGGCTTCCAATTTTGTGAAAATAGTTTGGGGAAAGCCCTTTTCGGTTCCAGCATGACTGTGCCCCTGTACCCAAAGTCAGGTCCATAAAGACATTACTTCACCAGTTTGGTGTGGAGGAACCTGAGAGGCCACAGAACCCTGCCCTCAACCATATTGAACCCCTTTGGAATTAATTGCAAGCCATGTCTTTACATCCAACATAAGTACCTGAGCTCACATACACCATGCTATTTTAGAGTAATGTCCTCAAACGTTTGGCCATATAGACTGGCATTCCAGTGTTTAGGGGCCCTTACTGAGCTCTGATACCCTCCCCAGCTGCTCTGTAAGAGTGTATACTTACCTGTTTTTCCTCTCTCCTCTGCACAAATTTCCACCTGGCTGCCCTCTGCCTGCTGCACATGTACGCTGTGGATTCCATTCATCCTAATAGAAAGTTCATACACTTTGCAGACTGTGGCAGTCCACACAGTTAAGAACTCAATGTAGAAGAGAGAAATATGTCCTTCTAAAGACATTCTGCAGGAGAGGATCAGGCCACAATTGCACTTACCCTTTCAGTTGCCACATGCACAAGGGCCAGATCAGATCAGGACCACAGACACCCCTCGCCAACAACTCGTCTGGGGAAAAAGAGCAATTAAACCATATAGAAAAAATGTCTGGTTGCAGTTGTGTTCCTCTGGTAAGTCAGAGGTGTCAGTGGACCTTTCTGACCACTCTGCAGAGGCTGAAAATTAATCCCACTGGCAGACTAAGATGCTGCTGGGTAGTTGTATTATTCCTGCTCTCTAGCAGATAAGATATACTTAAGCATATTGTTATTACAGTTATCCTTCAAACGCCCCCCCCCTTTCCCCCCAGATGGATACCTACGTGTCCCCACTTCCTCACTCCACTTCTGAAATCTTTGCAAAAATGTTGGAGGAGCGGGGGAAAGGTAAGTGTCAGACTTGGGAAGGTGCTGGGGAGGAAGAGGGAGAATGTATGAAAGGTAACTGTAATACAATTTCAGTTATCTTTTAAGAAGAGAAGAATTACAGACTGTCTTGTAATTACAACATTTACTATGGACAATAAGGTACGGGTTTTACCATTTTAGATAATTAAAACACTAGAAGGAAGTTAAGACTTTTCTAATCTGTTATGTCAAACCCATTTAATGTTCATCATATAGTACAGATAGTACTTACCGACAGGACTATCTTTGTTCTCAGTTTTAAATAGGTGAAGTTTAGAGAATTTGAGGAGTGAAATTTTGGCAGATTTCCATAGGCGATATCACAAAGTACACAAATGTGCCCACCTTAAGTCATTCTGAGAGGCTCTGCTACACAGTTTATTGAAGTGAAGAAGAACAGCAAAAGAAATGGGATAAGACGTTTAATTTACATATACTATATGTAACATATTAATTTTTTAAAAATCTTTATCTGGAAGACTACAGGTTCCAAGCATTTTAGATTCAAGGAGGTGATAGCTCTTCAAATAATAAGAAAGATACTTGTGACATTCTTAAGGTATTTCAGTTGAACACAATTAAAATGATGTATTATATACCAATAAATCATGTGATATTGCAATTTTTCTGAAGTTGGTGAAAAAAAAAGGGTTGTAGGTTTTGAAACTTGACAGTAAAGACAAAACATGAATAAACTTACACAGGCTTGAAACTGGACAATTTCTGCACTTTACTACAAATATGCAACTGTGCAATATAAATAACCCGCACTTCAGTAATAATGTGCAAGTACTTTGGAACAACGAAAATAGGTTGTGCGCATTAAATTGTCAGCCGGAGTGAGTTTTAAGATTGTGTTGAGTTGAGGCAGTACAATCTGTTCATACTGCACAGCAGAGACAAAGCATCTGGCACCCTTACTCCCTGCTTCAGGTTTACGATATTTTTATTCCTCCAAAACTATATTCTTTCATATTCTTATACCTCCAAAACTATATTCTTATACCTTCCAACATTCCAAAATATCAAACCAGGACATTTTAAGCTCTTCTACATTTATGACTAGACTTATCTCAAACATGTCCATACCTGCATCAAACATCTGAGCCATGCCTTCCCTCTGTTACAAAAACTGGCTCCCTCCTGATGAAATAAATATAGTTTTTTACGTTATCACCTCTAAACCTAAAGAGAGGAAAATGTTCCCTAAATTCCCTAAATCCTTTTAGTTACTCAAAGGGCTAAGTGTAGTAAAGCCATAGTAACCAATCAGCATTTGTACAGTATGTTGTACTGTGTGTCATAGTTCTGACTGCTATGACCCAGCAGTTGTCAAAGTTGTACATTACCTGCCAATCAAAGTATGATATTTTTTAAATTTAGAACAAAGAGATTAAATGCAGGGTGTTCACATACCAAGGTGTAAACAGCATAGGACCAACATACACGTGCCAATAACACTAACTACATACATTTCCATGTTGCAGTTCTTAACAGTCCTACCTTATGATACTTGCACTGCAATGCTTTACATTTATCATTCCATTTCCTACTCAATATTCCAATTTCCCCTTCCTGCTTATCTATTCTACCAGATGATTTTCTCCTATCTCCCCCTCCCTGCTTTTCTACTTTCCTCACCAGCAGCTTGTCACTTTTCTTTTCCCTCCTTCATTTCTCGTACTTGTTATTTTTTTCCTATTCACCCCCTGCTGGTTTTCTTCAAGTCACCCCCTCCTTTCCCTGCCATTATGGTCACCCCCCCAGCCCCGTCACCTGCTGCTCTTCTCCTACCCTCCCACTTACCTTGCTCCTGTTGTCTTATTCCCCGGCTGCTATTCTCCTACCCCCTTGCCCCTGCCTTTCCCTATTGTTTTTGACCTATTACCCCCTAATTGTTTGCTCTTATTTGTTACCTGCTGCTTTTACCTTACTACTACTTACTACTTTACTCATCT